TGTATTTTTGGACCCGACCTATAGTACTGAATATTATCAGTTGCAGGCTATGTTATTTCATTTTTTGTGGAAAATCTATAATATATATATATATATATATATATATATATCCCGTATTTTGCTTGAAGATTGTTTTATGGAAAATCTTTTGGATAAATAGTTTCTTTTTATTAAGAATTAGCGCAACTGATGTTACAGGTGGCCCCCTATTAAAAATACCTTGAAATAGAAAGGAAAAAAAAACATAAAAACACCTCAAAATAACTTTAAAAATCCCTCAAAACAACGGAATTAGGCTAAAAACACATTGGACGACTTTGTAGGCCTTTAATCTACTTAAAGATGCCCCACTGGGGGCATGAATCTCAGAGTCCCAACCGAACCCATATGAAACCCGCCCCCTAAGGCACCACAAATGAAGGGCCATTTCATGAACCAACTCAATGGCCAAGGCAAAAGAAGGAATTTAAGCTCACATCTCATGGGATTCGAACTTGAATTTGTTGTATATACTCAAACAAAAGCACTCTGTCACTTTGTTAACTAAGGGGCCGTTTATTAAACGTTTATCCGGTAAGTACTTACTGAGCAATTTTCTTCACCGAATGAACATGGCAAGGGGAAAAAATCTTACCCAGTAAGAGTGATGATAAGAATGGAGTCTTACCCGGTAAGTGAGGGTGACAACTCTTATCCGGGTAAACGCTTACCAGGTAAATTGTTGCATAAATACGTTTTAATATACTACAATTTTACCCGATAAAATAAATTATAGTGTTGTCTCCCAGCAATAAATGCTTATCGGGTAAGCATTTAGATAAACGGGCCTAAGCTTCATGCCCGTGGGGGCTTCAACAATACCAATCATAACTAACATTACAAAACCATCAAAATTTTGCAAAAAAAAAAAATACGGCTTTTCCCACGTCACCATTTTCTTTGCAAAACAACATTTGATTGAATATTGTTTAAATACGACGTCATTTTTCACAAAAAAGAAAAGAAGCAACATAAAATCCAGATTCCAAATTTACATTTCCTTTCTCAAAGCCATTTCATCGTCACCGGTATTTAACGTTAGACCTCCGTAAAAACTAACCGATTTCAATGTCTGATCGTAAATATTCATGCATACTTCTCACTTTTGATGAGGCTTGAACCGTTGACCTCCATATAGACTTGAGCTCTACCGGTAACTTGGGTACCGTTGAGCCAATGCCGCTTTCGTATAGAGATGCATAGAAAGACTCAAGACCAACGGCCAACCTGAAGAGCTTGGGCTTAGTAAGCCGAGTCCATGCTTGAATTTAGAGTTCTTTTTCAAGCCCGGGTTGAAAAACAGCTGGAAAATCCTAGTTAGTTAAGCCTAAAAGAACCCTAGAAAGGCAGGCCTTAAAGAGCCCAAGGGTTTTGGTTTGGTTTGGTATTAAGTCTTGTATGGATATAGCTATATGTGTGAATTCATCCGGGAAGATTTTTATTTGGATGGGTTTTTTCGTAGATTGAATGAGTATGTTTTTTAATTGGGAATAATTGGTTTGGAAAAAACTTTGATGTTCTTAATAAAATTCCCTTAAAAACTTATTGAATATGTTATTTTCAATATTATTAAGCCATTATCAAACAGTTATATATAATTGAACGAATAAGTTGCAAGTTCTATTAAGCTGTTAACAAATAAATTCATCTACTACGAAGGTTATTTATAAATAAATTATAAATATTGTATTTAAAATAGTTTAATATTTTTTACGTGGGTCCAGAATGTTTTTTTAGGGTGCGTTTGGTACGCAGACAGGACAGGATGGGACAGAACAGGACAGGACAGGACAGAACAGCTGTTCAGCGTTTGGTAAGACATGATAGGACTGGACAGAACTGGTTAAAATGACCAATTTACCCCTATTGAGTCAATCCTAGAATTCTAACCACCATGATCAAATTAATCTACCATCAGATTCTAAACCCTAAAAACTTCAACTTCAATCAATTTTACAGTGACAAATTTCGATCAAAACCCTAATTTGAATTGCTAATGATGCAGATTACCAAGCATTACAACCAGATCCATAAATCGATTCAAACCCTAATCGATAGAAACAGCAAACAGATCCATAAATCGATTCAAACCCTAAATCGATTCAGGCATTACAACCCTAAATCGAATCAAAACCCTAAATCGAATCAAGCATTACAACCCTAAATCGAATCAAAACCCTAAATCGATTCAAGCATTACAGCAAATCATACACATAAAATCGAACAACAAATCGAATCAAACAGTCGAGTTAGGGCAAATCATACACAGCAAATCGTCGAGAAGGAGATGAAGGTACAGCCGTCGAGATGAAGGAGATGCCGGCGAGATGGAGCGACGGGGAAGACCGGCGAGATGAAGCGACTTCGTCGGGAAGGAGATGAAGGTACAGCCAGCGAGATGGAGCGACGGGGAAGACCGGCGAGATGAAGGGACTTCGTCGGGAAGGAGATGAAGGTACAGCCGGCGAGATGGAGCGACGGGGAAGACCRGCGAGATGGAGCGACGGGGAAGACCGGCGAGATGAAGCGACTTCGTCGGGCGGCGAGATGTTTGTACAGCCGGCGAGATGTAGCGACCGACTCTGTGTAGGCGATAGGAGGGAGGGTTCAGATGGGTATATTAGTAAAATGCTACCTTGTTCCACTTAGTTCCAGGGGTTGAGGGTGGACAAGCTTGTCCCACACGGGTTCCACTTAGTTCCACTTAAAAACACACCAAACATGGGACAAGTGTGTCCTGTCCTATCTCACCATGTTCCACGTACCAAACGCACCCTTAGTGTTGTGGGTTGAAGTTGGTTTAATAGAATAAACCTTTCCAATAGTCTTTTTTTTTTCGTTAAAAAGTGGAATGCATATTTGCTATAACGTTCTATTAAGCTGTTTTATAGGAGTTTCAGGAGTTGTTTGTTTACTTCTTAATAGTTCAATCTCTAAATCTTTAAGAGTTGAATCTTGTTTGGCAAAAAAAATTTGTCTTTTAATGGTTTTAAAACCCTCTGAATGATTTTGTATCATGAATCTTCGTTAACCTTTACGAGCCCTAACTTCATTATATACAATTACCAAACAATTATATTTCATTTTGCACTATATCATGAGAGCCTCTTAATCATGCTGACCACTTAATCATTCTGTACCAAACCATTCAGCAATTAGCAAACAGCCTCTCACTTACAATGACTAAATTATCTCTGATCATCCAAAGATTAACCTTTATATTAAGTAGTTTTATGGAAATTCACTTTACAATAACTCCAAATTATTCGTGATCGTCTGGAGATTAGTCGTTCTATTAAGCAGTTTTATGAAGATTCACTTGCAATGACTCCAAATTATTCATGATCATCCGGAGATTAATCGTCATGCAACCCCAGGACAATCAAAAAGAGTATGAAAGCTCATTTGATCAATATTATTATTTTACTTTGTTACTTAACTTTTTGAATTATATTTTTGAATATATAAAGTTCAGTTATTCGGAAATGAAATATTATTATGACATGATTATGTTTTAATGCATCAACTCTCACAAAATATACGATTACGGAAAATGAAATGAAAAAACAATATGACGACTGCATTCGAATAAACATTCAAATCTCTCACATGCTCATACGAATTGGCAAAATGAAATAGTCGAGATGCATGTAAACTAATCCAGAAACCTCATATAAGGGATGAGGTCTAGAAGGTAATATATACGCAAATTTTGTCTCTATCCGATATGATAAGAGAAAAAAATTTCCTTTAAACCCATGAAGTTGCAAAACGATGAAATCAAAGAAACAAACGAGCAAACTACAGATGATTGTGGGCAAACAAGCAAACAGAAACACAAGAAGATTGAGGGAATGGAGGGGGGGACTTGGGTTCGATGGCAGACAACTAAGGGGACATTTAGGGGTAGCTTACTCAAATGTTTACCGGTGATAGGAGTGAACACTATAATTTATTTTTCTGGGTAAAATTATAGTGCATCAAAATGATATAGTATGTAACAATTTACTCGGTAAGCGTTTACCCGGGTAAAAGTCGTCACTCTTATTTACTAGGTAAGACTCTCCATTCTTTCACCACCCTTACTGGGTAAGATTCTCCATCATTTTACTGCTCTAACCGGGTAAGATTCTAAACCCTTACCATGTTCATTCGGTAAAGAAAATTACCATTAAGCACTTACTGGATAAGCTCATAAGCGTTTAATAAACGGCCCCCTACAAAACACTTACCAGGTAAGCAAATACCGCCAAGAATCACCACGCTTGTTTACCTTATCGGGTAACATTCTCCATGATCAAAATGGATTGTTGGTAGATGTCGCTTACCTGATAAGCCTTACCAGTTAAAGTTTCTCCTTCACTTACCGGGTAAGATTCATGGTCTTCGTCATCACGAGATACGGTAAGTGACAGCCGGTAAACATTTGATAAACGGTCCATAATTTAGCAATGTACTAAGATGATGGGATGGAAGAGAGTTAAAGAGCTAGTAGTTGGGTTAATAAAATAGTCGGATAAACAGAGGGGAACTTTGCTCGATAGTTTATGAACGTCCACATGTTAGCTAGCATCTCTGTGCGACGTTGTGGGTCAAAAAGGTACGGGTATTGGATAAGCAACATTATTCTTATTGGGTCAGCACCATTTTCTTATTTGGCAAGAAGCTACAAGTGTTCATTAACTTCACAATTATACTTCTTAGCTGTTGGAAAGTTTCCTGGAGGAAATATTATCCAAAACCCTATTTCAAATGAGATATACCAAGCAAGTTCGATTCGGTTATTTGGGCAAAAGACTGATCACAAGCAAGTCGGGTACCCCAACTAGTCCAACATGGAACCCACCCCGGCACCATGTAATAAGGCATATCATGGCCTGAGACTCAGCGGCCAAGGCAAGCTCGAGGTTTGGTTTGGTTTATTAATCTTATTTGGTTAGGAATTTCACATAGGGAAAAGATTAACCTGAAGATGGCTACAATAACTTAGCCAACATTAACACATATCAAGAGAAGGCTATCAAATGGCATTTATATGAAAAGGATACAGATAATTTTTTCTTATAATCTTAACGACACTAAAATCTCACAGGTAATTCAGATTCCAAGAGCTCAGAGATTCTACAAACCATTAACTTTTCAGAACTCAATTTCGTTCATTCCATCCCAATTTGAAAACTGCGGAAGCAAAAAATATTCACAAATTAGACGAACTAACTCTGTATTTTCCATCAACAACAAAGAAATCAGGCATCAAATCCGAGATTTTGAAATCAATTTTGTAACAAAATCACCAGTAAATTTTCTATTTGAAATCTGAGCATGTATGTCGAGAAAATTTTAGTAACGAAGCAGACCTCAAAATTCAAAAGAAAACATGAAATTCAAACCAAAAAGAGGATTAGATGAATTACAAACCCTAGATTTTGTCGATGTCTTCATCTTCAAACTCGATATAGTCATCACCAGCGCCATCCTCCTCGTCATCAATTCCACCAACAATACCTTCATTAAGCCTAATATTATCCGGCAACTCACCGTACGCCTTCAACAGCCTCGCCTCATCAGGCATATACTTAAGGATAACATCCGCCTTATCGTCCTGGTAATCACGAAGTCCAACGAGAATGATATCTCCCGCGGCGATCCAAACCTTCTTGTGCATCTTACCACGGATGTGGCTAAGACGTTTAGTGCCGTCAATACACATGGACTCACAACGGCCRTTTCCGAGCATACGGAGCACTTGAGCATACTCTTGGCCGTCTTCCTTGAATACAAGCTCTCGCTTATCGTCGTCAGCTTCGTTCTTCCCTCTCTTGCGATTTTTACCTCCCTTTCCTTTATTCTTCGGCATTGATGATTGATGGCGGTGACTTTTGATAAAACCCTAGCTTTTTGATCTAGACAATGTGTGTGATTGTGTGTGTTTTTCTATTCATATAGAGTCCGTGGCGGTATGTGTAGATACGTGGCGTGCAAGTAAAGCAAGCCACGCGTGGAATATTTCGCACCCTATTTACCAAACATTTATTCCGGTAAGCATTTATCAGATCATGTTACCGTATTGAATGAATATAGTAAGGACTAAAAATCTTACCCGGTAAGAACGAAAGAAGGACCATAAGTCTTACCCGATAAGTATGGGCAACAACTCTTACCATGGTAAGCGCTTACCTGATAAATTGTTGCATATGATTTTGTTTTGGTTGAGTAAAATTTTACCCGGTAAATAAATAATAGTATTAAATTTTACCGGTAAGTACTTATTGAGTAAGTGTTCGGTAAACGGTCCCTTACTTTGTTTGATTGTTTTGATTTAATTCTTGTATTGATAAAGTTGTTTATATAATGTGTTGGGTAGATAAACAATAGGGTGGTTTTCTAAATCACAATTGATTGGACATCAGATATTTCGACTTTATAACTTTGGGTTGAATGAAATTCAGAATATGGGATAATCCAAGGAACAATTTAATTTCTTGGGCACAGAATTAGATTATGTTATCGTTGGTTTTTGAATATATCAATCCTTAGATTCGAGAGCCAAAAACGAGGGTTATCTATAGAAATCAGATAAGACCAAACAGCATTGAGAAGGTTAACAACAGTTAAGAACCAAAAACATCCGTTAGAAACTAACCATATGTCAAGAACCAAATGATCAGTTTTAACAAGCTACCTACTGAAGTTGTGATGTTTTCCATTAACACTTCTTCCATATAAACTAATTTTTGGTCTGGGGCGCTGCACTCTCGACCCCGCCCGTTGACTGGGCAGCGGGACCCTCGCCGGGGGCACCCCCTTGACCCCCACCTTTTGCTCATACAGGGAGTCAATTTAGTCTTATACAAGTGTACACTCCGTACCTTCTAACTTGCATAAAAAGACAAGTAAAGATCCCCTTTAGCTCTCGTATATTTACCTCTTACACTAAATAAAATCGGTGACACTAAAATCAACATAATGTCGGGGAGTTTGGTTTAGAAGAATTTTTATAGATGAAAGGAATGTGTTTTTAACTGTGTGATAGGTTTGGAATTAGGCATTGGACAACTTTATAGGCCTTTAATCTACCTTAAATATGCCTCACTGGACCATGAATCTCAGAGTCCCAACCGAACCCATATGAACACCCCCCCCCCCCTCTCTGGCACCACAAATGAAGAGGCATTTAGGCAAAAGAAGGAATTCAAGCTCACATCTCATGGGATTCGAACTTGAACTTGTTCTATATTCGGACAAAATCACTCCGTCCCTTTGTCAACTAAGCTTCATACCCCGGGGGCTTCAACAATACCAATCATAACAAATACGGTTTTTTCCCAAGTCACCATTTTCTTTGCAAAACAACATTTGATTGAATATTGTTTAAATACGACGTCATTTTTCACAAAAAAGAAGCAACATAAAATCCAGATTCCAAATTTACATTTCCTTTCTCAAAGCCATTTCATCGTCACCGGTATTTAACGTTAGACCTTCGTAAAAACTAACCGATTTCAATGCCTGATCGTAAGTTCGGCCCGCAGATGCAGAATCCCGTTGATGAAATAAAGACTGTCTTCCGCCATAAACGACGTCCATGGAATCGCAAACAGATTCCGATAACCGACCGCTTTTCCGCCCGTAAACGTATAATTCCCCTTATACTTGCTGATATACTCTTCGGTCGGCTTCGATCGGGCGGCAAACTCGTAATCCACCGCAAACGTGACCGACCCTTTTTCCTGCATCCCCAAAAAAAGACCGAAACAATGAAACGAACTTTGTTGGTCCATGTTACAATGCGCCGATAAAAAGAACCCTTGTCCGCCTAAATGGAACGCTTGTGAATAGACTCTTCCGGAAGGAAACAGATTCGTGCATTCTTCACGTTTCAAATCCAGGTACACCACGCATTGCTGACGTGGCAGTTCGAACTCCACGACCTTCACGGGTCGGTACTTGTAGGCCCGTTCGACGAACCTACGGTTCGGGTTCGGGTTTTCGTCGGCAGCAAGGCTGCGTTGTCGGTGTGGGGCTTCGGCTTTGAAGAAGAGGGCTTCGACCACGACTTTCTGTGCGAAGTCGTGGTCGAAGTCGTTGCAAGCCATGACCTTTCTGAGCTTTCGGCAGGTCATGTAAGGGAAACGGATGAACTGAGCGAGCCGTGTCGCTAGGATTTCGCGTCGCTCCTCGACCTTCGGGTACTGGATCCGGGACCACTTGAGGACAAAGTCGTAAACTGCATCTTCTGATGCCACTTGAAGATCATCACTCGACAAAATTGCTTCGACCCCGGCAAGAGGCAAGTTTAGAACCTCGTCTTGAAACCTGGCAATTGTAGGTTCAATAGTGTAGAGGAATTTAAAAAACCAAACAAACCCAGTATATCTCACACAAAGATAGGGTCTCGGGATAGGATGTACGCAGAGGCAGTAAATTTTTTTAATAGAACTATGCAAGTCTTCTTAATTGTTCCGTTTTTCCCATATTTCATTTCTAAACCAAACATACATAGTATATCCCATCAAAATGTAGGGTACGTGGAGGCTATGATGTATGCAGACATACCTCTACCATACCTCTGCCCCTAGGGCTAGACAGGTTGTTTCCATGAAACCATATTCATTTCTCCTCGCATCAAATATTTGAGACCACAAACATATATATATATATATATATATATATATAGAGAGAGAGAGAGAGAGAGAGAAAGAGAGAGAGAGAGGGGGGGAGCTTTCGGGGGAAAAACCCCCAAAAATGAAAAACTGAGTAACACCTTAATAATCGTCCATCTCTATGGTATGCACATGTGCATACAAGTAACTGAAGATGTTTCCTGGTTTCTATGCACGTGTGCATTCTAGAAAATTACTTGTATGCACATGTGCATACTGAATAGATGAATGGTTACTAGGGCGTTCTTCAGTTTTTCCTTTTTTGTGGTTTTCCCCTGAACCTTACCCTCTCTCTCTCTCTCTCTCTCTCTCTCTCTCTCTCTATATATATATATATATATATCCACAGAAAGTGAGCTTGGACAACCATTCTCAAAAGAAAATGGGTGAGCCCAGAACAGCTCGTGAATATTAATGAGAAAAAATTCTCAGACAATCCCAGTCCGTTTATAGGGTGGGTAAGGGCAAGTTATCAAACCCACAAAAAACTTGAGTTTGTTAAATTAGGCCCACTGGACAAAAAAATGAGGTTGGTCCCAGCCGGTATCCGGCCCAAGGCCACAAATTATCACATCTACCCAAAGGCAAATCCAGAAAATTGACGAACTTGCAACCTGTAATGCCACATGCAATGACAACACAAGTAGGTTGCAGCCACTTTATCTAATTAAAGTGGGTGCACACTTAAAGACCCCAATTTTTTTTCCAATGCGTCCAGACTATAGAGAGGGACATGGGCACTCCCTAGCCCAATCCACCCCTGCCTCTACATCTAAGCAGTGGGGTTGAGCCTACTTAGTGACATCGGTGTGTGAGTTCATTTTCCATTTCAAGAAAAAAGCAAAGAAATACAGAAAAGACACACAAATGCATCATTAGCTTACTTGGTTATGTCTTTATAGCGAACGGCAAGGAATTGTTTTGCTGCATCAGTCAATGGTTGAACTGCTTCAGCCATTAAGACACTGGATGGAAGATCGAGATAGAGAAGTGCAGATTCGGGGGTCATAGGCAGATTTCTCAATGAACGGCTGCAATATCTCATGCATGAAGCCACCTCAAACTTGTCGGCGGCCATCAACACATCCAGCAGAGCAGGGGCAGTAGTCACCGTTAAGGTATTGCTGTACATAAAGTTGAGAAGTTCCATAAGGGCAGCTTCCTCTGTTCCAAAAGAAAAGGTGGCAGACAAATTAGGTGTGAAATGTGTTCAGTCAATTAGTCCATAGACATTGATCTGCAACTAATATCGGGAATCGAGATAAGAGAAAAGCCGACAATTGAAGTAAGAGCATCTCCAACAGATTCTCTATAATTTCTTTATAACCAAAGTTAAAATCTCCAAATATGAAGATTTTTATTCTCTCTATCAAAATTTCTCCATTTTGGAGAAAATTTTGGTGGATCTGTTGAAGAAAAAAAAGTTCTGGTTTAAAACTCCAAAATCTCCATTTTGGAGATTCTGTTAGAGATGCTAGAAGAGGCTCAAAAAGAGACATACCAGAGGCATTGATCCGCAAAGTTACATGTCGTTGCTCCGACTCCCTCATCCCATTGGAAAAGAGCTGCATTCAAGATAAATGGAAATGCCTATCACCAACTGAAGAATTCCAAACACAGAAAAAGTACATCCATGTAAACATTGAGAGATTCACCTTGTAAAAAAAAGGACTTTTTGCCGCCAAAATTGGAGAGCTAATATGTAAAGTTTTTACTCTCAGAACTGTTGAACACTCCATACTCCAGTTTGAATCAACGTCATTTGCACCTTCATCTCCTGTAAAGTGAAATGCAAGAACCAACAGATCTAAACAGCTCAATCCCAGCTTCAAGAAGGTAAGATGTTCAAGACCAAGTTGTTTTGGTTACTTGATTTTCATATTTGTGGGCCCCATAACCTCATTTATCTGGATTAAAAAATGGGACCCACAAAATGGAGAGTGGAGGACTTCAGGTAACAAGACAATTTTTTATGCGTACTTTGTTTGAATCAGAATTACATGGTCATTTGATCATCTTAATATAGAAATGGCTACACACAATCAAAGAGAAATAAACAGGTTTAACAGTTTGATTCCCAATATAGAGCAAATGTAATTGTATTATTATTTATAGTAAGATATACATTTCATACACATAACAAGCCAAATGTTTGAATACTACCAGAGACTTGCAGATTATCTCATCACACACAGCATATCATATGAGAACCAGAAAAAGATTATCATGCAAGTAGCTTCTAGGATTCCTACAAGTGCAGAACCAGTTATAGCATCAAGTATGTATATTATATGAGACAGAAAGTAAACAGTTAAATCTAGAATGAAATCCAACTAGAAAAAGACATCATCTCTTTGGTGTCTTTCAGCCAGCCACACAAGACAACATGGATTTATGAAAAATTAACAAATGATGCAGACCCCTAATATGAGAACTGTTAAAATATCTTAAAACTGGGTTCCTCCTACCGTTTTCTCTCTTTGTTAAAAGTGGTAGAAGTTATTGAATACACTCAAAAATGCACCAAAGCTATCAGACTTTGGTGGGATACTGGTTTTGAAATGAATACTATATCACAATTATTCATATGAACAATAGGAAAAATCATAGTCATACCTGATTGTGGTTCTTCAATCATTGCTGCCGCCTCCTCCTCCTGGTTTTCAGTGTCCCCATCATCAGGAATGTTGTCAGGCTGATTCAGAATTTGTTCCTCTGGACCTGCAGCAGCCATGTCTACGGCTGTGAATGCTAGAAAGTCATCAAGATCAGTGTAGACATGTTAATGTTTGAGCTTATTAAATTAAGCATATTATTAAGGCAATTGAAGCATGCAAAGCACTCATGCGGAGAACAGTCATGCTATTCAGCATACTTTGGCACATTCTATGAAAGGGAGAACAACATAATGAAGAGCCATGAACAAGGAAATCACAGCAAGTCCATATATACTGAACCGAGTCTAGCAGAACTTGAAAGAATTATAATCATTGTAACCAAAGCATTATAACATAAGTCTAAATGAGTACAAAAGAAGATTGTTTGTGTGCTTTTCTGTGTGCTTTTCTGTGTGCTTTTGAGATTGAGAGAACTCGAGATAAACAGAAAGAATCATGATAACTATTTGTTTTAAACCTTATGGACCACATTGATCAAATCCTATCATATGCTCAAATGTTGGTGACTTGGTGATCCAAGAACTAAGGCATGGCACGATTCAATGCGTCCAAAGAACAAAGCATGATACAGAAATAAGATAATAATAACAATAAGCGGCATGCAAAGAATTCTATCTTAAGTACTCGAAAAAAGATGAAGCATATGCATGCACCAACCATAGAACTAAACAATGTAAAAGCATAGAAAGATGCTGGATCCATGAATGGACACAGAAAATCAAGATCAAGTTACAGGGATCTGAAACTCGAAAATTAGATTCCTGACAAGACACGCTTTTGAAATGTTCTTCAGATGATATGGATAAACTCAATCACCAGATGCACGTAAATAGATGCTAAATTGTGACTCCCCATCCTCCTGTGCTAGCAAAGAGACGTACACCTTGTGGAAGACGCTCACTCAATAAATAAGAAACAGGACTTCCACCAGAATTGGGTCAAACCTAATCATGACTTGGTAATTAATGAACAGATCACAGAAAATTATGTAAATGGCAACGTGACCATAGCCTCATACAGCAAGTGATAACAATAAGAAAAAAATGAGGAAATTCGTATACAACTACCAAGGAAACTTCATTATACACATCTTTTATAGTGAGCTAGAGTAAAATGGACTTACCCCGCCCACACCACCCAACCCCATGACTTCATAAATTGCAAACTTTCTTAAGGTTAAGTAACCAATTCTTCAACTTCAACTACTGAATAAGAAACTCTCATTTAGTTTCCCGTTTTCTCTTCCCTTTGACCTGATTGTCTCAACAGTCTCTGTTTTTCATTATTGTATTTTTCTGAAGTATACACGTCAATGATATTATCTGGCCGACAGAACCAACCATGACATAGTAGGGGTTTATAAGATTAGAAACCTATTGCTCATTATAATAACATCTGATAGTTACAAAAAATTTGGTAACAATCAATTTATCAAATTAAGTTCAAAAAAACCCAGTATCTCCTTTGACTTATAGAATCCTGAAAGAAAATTGCAAAACTGGAAAACAGTAACTAAATATACCTCAAGCTTTTATATTCATCAGAATTTCACCACCCGCCGTTCTCATTACTTCTCACATTGGAATATGAACACAGGCTTTTTCAATTCTTGCACAAAGAATTACATTCACAAGAGTCCAAAAGCTTGTTATAATCAGAATGACCGAGTATTCACTGATATTGTGTACTACTGTGTCTTTAAAAAATGACCCCTGGATGTTGTGTAAAGTATCACTACAGCACCTCTTATGAGTCAACATGATCCTTCATATCAAGCAACAAACAACCAGCAAATCGAGAATAATTGTATGTTGGTAAATATGCTCCACAATATATGATTTAGCAAACAGCTTGAGGTCCATTTTAAAGAAGTAATTTGGTAATAGTTCCTTCCATTATAAAAAAGGGGCACACTACTTGATCTTTTTAAAACATTTGTCAAAAGGTCAAATGAATGGAAAATTAAAAACATGTACCATCTATGAAAGTAGGAAAATAGGGAAATAGGGACACAAGGTAAAGAGGGGATGAAATAAACTGTCAACATCGACTTGTTAGCTACTTAAATATGTCAATTCTTCCTAAGTTCAATTCTATACCAGCAAATTATTTTCGTCATGTCTAATGACTTAACTAAATTACAAAAAAAGAAACACTGCATAGGTTTCTCAAATCACTCAAAGCCAGCACATCATTCCTGGTTTCAGAAACTTTTCTGTACATTTGGCATGTGTATTAGCATTTCCCAACAAGTTTTCCGGTCGGTTCTCAGCCAGGTAACTGCCATTCCAACACAGCACCTTCTTAAAAATGCCAACACAACAACTTCATAAACCATTAAGAAACATTTATGTGCCACTGTCACTTACAAGTACACCAATGTCTTAAAGTCAGTTCCCCAGCAAAATCCTCCTAGCACATCTGACCCCCTTATATCAGATACTCGTGAACATGAGAACTGAAAGTCCCATCATGGTATATAGTCAGAAATCTTTTGAAAGGATAAAACGGCAAGAGATTCCTAACATGAAAATGACCTTCAAATTCTCGACATCTTATTGTTGGGATTCAACGAAGCTCGGCCTAGTCTTTAGGTGCTCGTATGTAATGATTAATCGAGTATGTTTTCATTTAGTCAATATTTGAACAAAGAGTCCTGAAGTTAGGGACAAATTGATGTTAGTTGCTTTGAATTCGTACTCAATTAAGTACTGGTTTTTAGTCATTTACCGATGTTTGTATTCGTCTATAAAATCCAGCTTTGTTCATGTCATACGATACCCAATCTTCGAATACATTCTATTGTGTCAATTTGTTCATACCAGGTTTAACACTTATAACACCCTCCTAATTCCAAAATAATTTAAGTAAATCACGTATATCATCAAGAACTCAAACAACATATACACACAAACATACATTCACTTCCAAAAAATTGAAGAACAATCAACTAATTACCATTTTCTCTTTTGATATCTTCTCTACGGCGTTTCCGATTCCTATCCCAATCAGCGAGACTGGTGCAACCTTCCCCATCGGTTCTAGTCTCAGCAGATTCAGAAATTATCTCTATACGAAGAATACGATCGGAGAAATTGCTATCGTTGAAAGCGAAACCGAAGTCGGCGTCACCGCGGGCGACTTCGATGGTATAGTCAGAAGCGTCCATTACAGCAGTTCTTGGATCGAACAGATCCAAATTTGAATCCTTCATGATACGTAGTAAGATTTGGGGGAAAATTTGGAGATTTTGAAAACCCTAATTGGGTCAGCTGAAGAAGATGAAAAATGAAATACGTACGGTGCTGAGCTTGTCAAAGGTGTCGTCCTCTAAATGCTATCAAATGATCTTTTTATGATTTAAAAATAACTCTTTACGGAGTTAATTACATGTTTCATCCCTCTATTTTATATGATATGTAGATTAGGTCCCTGAAATGAAATAATTATAAAATAGGTTTTATGTCAAAGAAATTGACCCCAATGACCATATTTCACAACCAAATTAACACTCTAACCGTTTCTCTCTAGACTTTACCCAAAAATCACTAGATCTGCAATACTAATTGCGGGCCTATTAAATGACAAAAAATAACGTTTTTTGGTCAAGTCTGTAACCACCGGTTTGCAACTATTACGGATCTGATCCAAAACTCATTTTCCTATGAAGGTGGATACTTATGGATTTGGCATTACGTATTCAAGGAAAATGGGATTTGGGTCAAATCCACATAACTGCCGTTACGAATTTGGGCCCAAAAAAAACTAAAATTTTGTCGTTTAGTGGGTTTGTAATAATTGCGGACCTGGGTATTGCGGACCTAATGACTTTTGGGTAAAGTTCAAAGACAGTTACTTAAGAGGTCAATTTGGTTGTGGAATATAGTAATTTGGGTCAATTTCCCTTTATATTGTGTGTTTTATTGTCTAATTTGTCTATTGTTCTAACAAGGTCTTGAAAAGGTTGTTGGCACGGTTAACTCATTGAGCATTTTGAATGTTTTTACTGTTCTTTGGAACTCTTCTTCAGCACTAATTAGATGATGTCACGTGTCCTTCCCTTCCCGTTGGATTGTGGCTACAACAATCGTCATTTTTCTTATTAACCTGGATATGCGAGCCGACTAATCTCATGGCGACCACCTGTTTTGCAGATAGCCCGAAATCACCGCATTTGAACCTTCATGGCCACAAGGAGATTTTATATTCCTCCTTGGATTTGAACATGGGACCTTCTGGTACTTTTGACCTTTGGAGCTAAGCTCAAACCAATCAGGCACCACCCTTGTGGTTTACAACAATCGTCATTAATAACATCTTTCTTGAATCTTCATCCACCACCCCTTTTATCTATCTCTTTCTCCTGAATCACATCCCATACATTTGTCTTGCTCGAAACAGCTTAACATTTGGCACATAAAAACCGTGAAACCGACCTCATCCCACAGTTGTTTCCTTCTTTCCCATGTTCCTATTTTTTTCAAGTAATTACATGAGCAAAAAGAATTAACTTTTTTTTACGTACATATGAATGTTCTTGTTCGATAATTTAGTGGAAATAGGAAGAACTTCGTAGCCATTGATGGGTGAAATTCACAATAAGAAAAAATGGACCTTTTGATCCCATCAAAAGCTAGTGATATCAGTTCGTTGAGAAATCTTCCTAACATCAAATGTGAACTTGAGAGGATAATGGTTCGTTAGAGACTAATCCTTGTAGGTTGAGTTTGAAAGGGATAGCAGATGGATAAGAAGATCGAGGCTAGAGACGGGGGATGTGGTATTTTACCGAAGAAATTGATGAGATAATGATGGAGGTTGAGGTGATATCGGGTCATTGGTGGTTGGAGGTGGGACAAAATGGTGTAAGGAAATGAGAATCAGGACAACTACAGGGGTTATGGCGTAATTGTTGAGGTCTTGGGGGATGCAGTGGAATATCCTACTTACCAGGGTTCGATTCCCTTAATAAGTCATCAAATTTGGTGCTTTTTGATCCCCAGTTGTTAACAACTAGCGTACACAACAATTGTGACGACTGAGTTTATCAATCCTGATTTTCTTGTAGTAACAATTTAGTAGGATTAGTTCAGGCATAACCTGAGACATCCTTCCAAGAAAAGGAGAATCGGGACGGTGGTGATCGAAAAATATGGGAGATATATAGATATACTTTAGTATTTAACAGAAAAGTAGAGGAATCATTAACATGACCCACATACCCCTCAAGTTAAATGGGTTAACAGGCTTTTTAACTGTTAAGGTAGGTGATGAATTGGGCAATAAATCAGATAGTATATGGACGTTTTGGATAATCATGAGACCCAATCAATAATATTGTATAAAGTGCAAGAAAAACGATATTCACTTCTCTTTCTAATTATATTTCTTAATTCTTTACGGTTGACTATATTTTTGGTGAACTGGTCCCTTTGATTTACACTAAATTACAAAACAAAATGTCAAAATCCGTAAACTTCATTAAATACAATAATGGTCACACTGGTTTACGTTAAGTATATTTGTGGTGTCTGACTTATATTTTTCAAAATAATATGGCTCTTTAATTTAACACTGTAGAAATAACGTCTGTTACCTCTCTTTTCATGTTATTTGTTAAATTCCTTTTGTTAAATAAAATAAAAAACAATATTTTATATTTGCATATGGGGAAATTGCATCAAAATAGAACGAACTTTCACTTAATTTTTATTTTGGGGAACCGACTTTTAAAATCGTTATTTTGGGGAACCAACTTGTACCTGATTCCTATTTTGGGGAACTAACTTTCAAAATTGTCATTTTGGGAAACCAACTTGCACCTGATTC